GACCTGAGGACCTTGTAGCTAATTAATGACAGAAATGCTTGCCTGCTGCTAATGGAAAAAAATAAACCTGACCCTAATCAGTGAGTTTATTAATCCATGCTTGGTCTTTTCACCAACACCCCTACTCAGATTTTAATTTTTTACAACATTTTGCGTTGAGAAGTGGATTCGTTGATTGGCTTCCCAAAAAACAATGGCTATTTCTGTGTCCTGATGTGATCCTCCTGCTGAGATTCTGCTCCCAGGAGTCTACAGTCTAGATGGAGAGAGAAGATCATCCTCAACTCCTACATTTTATGGGGAAGCAGAACAGCCACAGGGAGAGGCAGGTGCTTCCTGATCTCAGGAGCTGGCCTAGGCAAAGGGTCAGGAGAGGGAAGTCTAGGTCACAATGGGAGTCCGGAGCTCTCTGCAGAGCAAGTGGGCACCTTCGGGGAAGTCTGTCCACAGGGACGGGGCCCGGCCTCAGGTGGTGTGGCATCCTGAGGCCACGGTGCGAAGCAGGGTCATGAGTCAGGGCCAGACAGGCACAATGATATCTAAAAAGCCAGCTCAGACGGATAGAGGAGCAGGCAGCCAACTTACTCAGAGCCTCTAATTTACAGCATTTGGTATTCTTATCAGCCCTCTGTGAGGTAGATATTATGACTGATGTTTTACAGATAAGGAAGATGAGGCTAATGGAGGTGGGACAATTCACCTGGCTAGTAGAACCAGTGCCCATCCACTTCTTCTACTGTGCTGGCTGCCCAGAGATGTCTCACTCCCTTCTCCCTGAGTCAGGCTTGGTTACAGCGATGATGGAGGTAGTCCGTGGGAAGAGATGACACGGCCCCAGCTGAAGGAGAGGAGGTGTGCAATAAACCTCCAAGGGGAGGGTGTGGAATAAAGGAGGACTGATAGATGGGTCAAGGTCACAAGCAGGAGGAGCTGGCTCTGATGGAATCCAGACACTGACGTTTCAGTTCTGGACCCTTTCTCTTGTGCTATGCTGCGAGGAGAGGACTGTCACCTGCCACGCTTCTGGGACACTGGGTTAAACGGCAGGACGGCTGGAGGGCTCAGGTCAGGGAGAGATCTCACATCCGGACTCATGAAAGTTTGCAGAGGGAGGGTGGCTGGGAGGTCCACAGGTGAGGAGAGGCTCTGTGGAGGAGAAATAGCCTGCTTCCTCACTCATCAACCTGGTGAGGCAGACCGGTCCGGGCACTGAGACCTGGTGCTCCCAGAAGTCAGGGATTAAGATTCTACCCTGTTTGGTTCTTTCCCCAGGGCGGGCCCAGCAAATGAGTGCTCAGATTGCAGAGCCAGGCTGCTGCTGTCCTCTGGTCTCAAAGGTCAGAACCTTTGGGTGACCCCAATAGCCAAGCCCCAGGCCACATCTGACTTGCACCAACTCCCCCCAGGGCACACAGATTCCCCTCCCAGCTACTGGTTCTGGCCTTTACCTCCTCAGCACAGTCCTGAGCGTTTCTCCAGAACTTCCTGTTTGCCTGCGGCTGCACAGACAGGACCGGTCCCACCCCGGTCATCTGGCCAGGCCCAGGGAGAGAGGTGGGAGTCAGCTGCGTTCTCCCCACAGCTCCTCTGGGTTCTTGCCACCCACACACGGGTCCTCTGGGACCAGTTCCATTGGATCCAAGTCAGTTCACAAGAAGGTCAAGGTGACCCAGAAGGGCTTGTGGCCAAGATCCTTAAACTTTTTTTTTTTTTGATTTTTCAGCTTTCCAAAAAGGCAGAGTAAGTGATGACTTCAGGACATGGAGTTCCAGAGAAAACTGGAGAGAGGAGCGAAGTCTCCTTGATTGGGGAGATGGAGAAAAATGCCCACAGAGGGTGTGGTCTTTTAGTGTCAACACAGTCAAAAGACCCCTGTGCTATCTACCTGTGTGCCCGCCTGCCTGGTGAGTGCCGGGCCCGCGGGAGCTGTCAACAGAGTCGCAGAATGAATGTTCCTGGAGGTCAGCAACTAAGTCAACACCACGGTTGGAAAATTTCCAGCATGTGGTCCTGGAAAATGTTCTTATTGCAAACAGAGTTTTCCAGGCACTACCATTTCTTCCACAACCTGTGTAAGAGGGCAGAGACTGAATTCATGAGGCAGGAAAGGCTCTGGCTGCCCTTGGGCTGGTCACCAAAGGCCTATCCAATCATTAATTAGATTGTGTCAATGTTTGAGAATTGTTGAAACAGAACATTGTACTGGAACATTTTGTCTGGATATTTTACTGTCCTGCAAATGACATGAAAACATGCTTTTAAAACTGAGGGTTCAGAGACCCTGAGTAACTCAGTTTGGGGCCTCTCTACCAGTCAATTCTGAAGGGACTTTGGTCTGTGACAACAAGTGGGAGAAGCAAACAGCATGCTAAAGGAAAGAAGAAATTTTGCCTGCAATGCTGTGTTAGCTACATTGCCAATTCTCCAACATTCTGTGCCCTTGATGCCCCGAGGGGCTGGCGGTTGTGTTCTGCATCGCCAGGGGCTGCCTTCTAGTTGAATTTGGCGAATGGATGCACCAGCGGGTGATTGGAGTGCTGGAGGAGAGAAATGTCAGGTGTTTCCTCTGCTTCTGGACTCTGGCAGTAGCTATGATCTCCTATACGGTCTTTATCAAGGGGTCCATCTGCTGCCCCCACTTCATCAAACACACAGCTTTGGCTCTCACTGGGCTCCTGTAACACTATCCTTTTGCCCCCTTAGATCCACTGTTGCTAGGCTCTAGTTGTCTTGCCTCTGTGAATAGTCCCTTTGACACAGTCTCTTCATTTGAGCCCTCTGCAGGATCTGCTTCTCTGCCGGATCCTGACAGAAATAGGCCAACTTCCTGGTCATAACAAGTTTCTTGAGGGAAGTAAATTTCACACACTCAGCATTATTGCTGTTGCTTGTTCCTGACGTTTGATTTTTCCTTATGGGAGAGATTGTCTTTGTGCATACTGGCAATCTGAAAGACGGCAGGGTGCAGAGCAGGGAGCTGTGGACGAAAGTGCTGGAAGGCTCCCGCACACAGGTGCAGCAAGATGGTGAGCTGTGCAGCGGGCAGGGTCAAGAGATGGGAAAAGGAGGGCAGGGTAGCAGAACACAAGCATAAGAGACACAGACATGCTCTGCCCGGATTGTGGAGCATGTGGTCCAGCAAACAGCTTGCAGCTGACATGAACTTCCGGGTCTGCCTCAGCGCAGAGGAACGCCTCGTGCAAGCTCATCCCTTACCAGAGCAGCTTGACTGGGCAGGCAGGGATATAAAGGCACGCTAACTGGCTATCCTCCACTGTGGCTGATGCTTCGCTCAACAGCTTCCTCTGCACAATCCTGCATTTCCTTCTTTCCTTCGTGAGTATTGGCCTCTAATAAACGTCTTGCACCCAAATTCCATCTTACTCTCTGCTTCCTGAGAACCCACCCTATGACAGTAAGTTCAGTAGAATTCATAGCCAGAGCAGCAAAAGCTGACATTAAAATAACTGGCTTTTGTGTGTTTCAAGGAGCCTTCAGGCTTTCTTTACGTGGAGGCAGAGGAACTCCTGGAGGGCACAAGAGAGTGTGAGCGCTGGCCATTCCTGCCGAGGGATTCCAGTTCTAAGAAGTTATAAACGTGTGGAGGGTTATTTGAGAATAATCTGAGTCTGGGTTTGGTTAGAAAACCGGGACAAACAAAAGGAACATTTAGGAGGTAAAATTATGGAAGATGAAGGTTAAGAAGGAAGTGTTTTCTGTATCCCTCTTTACAAAGCGGAAACAAACTGCTAGGAGGGAAATACAAGTTTGAGGAGTTTGAAGTGTCTGTGTGCCTGATGCTGACCTTGAGCTCTGGAGCAGTACGTGCAATTTCTAGGGAAAGGAGACAAGCCAAGGCAACTGGAAACATCTTTATTCACTTTGTGACCTGGGCTTCTCATCCTTTTCTGTTGCACTGCTAAAATCAGACCCACGGAGACATCTTTTGTTCCCCTCCCAACATCCCAGTACCTGCACCCTCCCTGGGGCTCAAACTCAATGGGCTTATTGAAAGTCAGCAGAGCTCGCCCGAGAAGGAGTTGCCCTTTCCCGGCTTCGTCACCTGGTCCCATGTCTCACTCCCCCACTGCTGGAAATTTCACGTCTAACCTCCTGCCCCTCTCATTCCTTCCTGCTTATACCCTTTCCTGGTTGCTTCTCAGAATCCAAGTGGGTGGCTTGGTTCTGTGGGTGGCTTGGTTTAAATACGAGTCTCAATTCCACCATGTGCCACCCTGGTACTGCCTCTGAGGCAACAGGAAGCACTCAAGAAAAATATTACCCCCTTCTGAGTGGGTGGATGCTGAGGGGAGGTGTCAGATCCCTGGCCGGAAATGTTATAACCCATATCAGAACCCAAGGTCAGGGCAAAGTCAGGGCTTCTGCCAAGAACCGTTCTTCCCTGTGGATGGTCAATAGGGTCCACCCAGACTGAGGTCATGCCTGCTTCCAGACACACCTGAGGCTCATTTATGACATCAGAGTTGCACCGTCTGCCTTGAATTGAATCTCATGTCCCTGCCTCTGGTCTTGTGCATCTCAAGTCCAGCATAGCTACAGAGACATCTCCCCACCTCTAACAGCCTGCTAAGCCTGCCCATACAATCAGATGAATTAGAAGCCCAGAATGTTCTCACCTCTGGCACATGCCTTTGGCTTTAGCTCATGTTTTCGTGTGTCTCCGTGTGCTATAAGTCACCTAACAAAACCAGCCTGTATCCTGTGCCTCCCAGTCGGCACTCTGATGAAGGCATTTCTCCCATTTTCCTTTTCTCTCCTCTCCCTTTCCATATTGGGGAGGGAAATAGCACATTGAGAGCAAGACCTAAATATGGTGATGGTGCACGGCCAGAGTCGGGGCACATGGGGAGAGAGTCGCAAGGACAAATTACTTTGATATTTTCCAAGTCATGTTTAATGATTTCATACTGGCCAATTCTTCCCCAAGTCTGCCCAGCTCAGGAACCCATTTTCCAACCAAAAGATCGAAGGAAACATACTTTTCAGTTTTCAAAATTTTATTGAGATGTTGGGGAAAAACAGCCAACATATACATTCATTTCGTCACGTTTGGCATTTTATCCACACGATAGGCTCTCTCTGGCTTTGATCTGACTTCAGGTCTCCTTGGCAGTCCCCCTTCGGTTGTCCTCTCGCTGCCTGGTGTTGTTTGAAGTCCACCAGGGCAGAGCCCGCTGGTGGGGTCACACGTGGGAGCGGTAATTGCGATTGGCTGTGGAGGAAGGACATGTGTGCAACAGGGACACGGGTTAGAAGGTACACATTTATCCTCTTCCTGCCTGAATGTGAATTTCATCAGGAATGAAATTCAGGCTGAGCTTTCAGGGTCCTGTGACAGCTAACTTTAAGAGGGCAGGCGCGGGACCGCAGGTTCCCCCATGTTTGACTGCTCCCCTCCTCATCCCTCACTCACCATCATCGCCCCTTTTTCTACTCTTCAGGCTGCCCTTCCGGTATTTTCTTTTGCTGCCACCTCTCTTGACTCCCTTGTGGGGAGCTCGGTTCTTGCCCCTCCTCATGCCATGACTCTTTAGTTTGCGGCTGGTCGACATTGTAATTTCTGCCAAAATGAGGGGCTTTGCAGGGCCGGGAGGCCGCGGGCCTGGGTATTTAAGGCCTTAGCCATTGTGACTGTGAAGGGGCGTGGCTCAGCAGGAGGGTGGGGCTCCACTGTGATGTAACCAGCCTTTGTTACACTTTGGTCATAGATGTGAAATAAGGGGTCCCTTTAGTGCAGCTCAAGGCTACCCTCAATTTTGAGGTCCTTTTTATGTTCAATGAGGCTTTTCAGACAGGTGTTACTGAGACAGGTGTTAAATTCCAGCCCTGTGCTGGGCTGGTGTCTGAGGAGTGGGAGAGACTGTTAGAATGCATCTCCTGCCTGTAGGAAATGTAGTGGTTGTCAAGTGTGTGTATATGCACGTGTGTTTGAGTCTCTTTGACAGCTTTGGGAGATTACAAATGTATGCCTATAAGGACTTGACTCTAGGAAATCCAATTCAATATGGTGAAAATATAAATATTCCCTCTCTTTCATCTAAATCAGGATTTTTCAACCTCAGCACTGCTGACATTCTGGGCTGAGTACTTTTGTGGGACTGTCCTGTGCATTGTAGGATGTTCGGCAATATCTCTGGCCTCTACCCATTCGATGCTAGTAGAGCCCCTGGAGATGAGAGAACCAAAAATATTTCCAAACAGTGCCTTGTGGGGAGGGGCGCAATCATACCGTCATCCTTGGTTGAGAACCATTTCTCAACCATCTCAAAATTGTCAGCAAATATTTATCGAGGTCATAGTATGTGCCATGCACTTAGGTGCGGGGAAAATAGTGGTGGATAAGAACAGACATAAACTCTGTGTTCATGGGGGCTTTCAAGCTAGTTGGGGAGAAAGCTGTTGATCAGACATCTGCACAGTAAGTCAGTAAATAATTACTTCCCAACACAGTGTAGGATAATTACATACCAACATGGCACAGGATAGAGTTGGAGAGCGAGGCGGAGACTAGACAAGGCTCAATCACATTGGGAAAGCCATGGAAGAATGTTTAAGAGGATGACCTGATGGAATAAGAGGCTGCTGGGTCGGGGATGAGTTGATGAGGAAGCAAGTGTCTAAAGGGAGAGGCTATTGCCAATAGTACTGGTTCAGGAGAGAGAAATATTTGATAATGGTTTGGCCTGGGCCAGAGAGGGTGTTCGTTGGGATATAGAGATGTAGACGGGAGACAAAGATGTGGTGATGGATCAGATTTAGTTGATGAGAGCAGAAGGTGTCAAAAGTGTGGCTTTTGCTGCTGTGCAATGTGGCTATTTGGATGCTGGTGCCACGCATTGAGATAAAGGCCAGGCATGGGGACACTGATGATCGTGAGTTTTGGTCTAAGACATTTCAGATGTGAGGTGCCTTTGAGATTTTCAAATAGAGATACTGAAGGATTGTTGGCATATGGGTCTGGAGCTCAGAGCAGAAGTCTAAGCTGGAGACACCCATGATTCCCAACTTCCCTGATAATGAATTCATCATCAACCTTTTCTTCTTCCACCTTTATACCTTCCATTGAGTCCTTATGAAAATTATTTTAGTAAATTTGATAACTATTTCTTCTTTCTGTCCCTCCTTCTCTCTCCTCTGCCATCCTCCTCATTCCGGAACCAAGCACCTTACAAGTGGGAAGTTCTTAGCAAAAGCTGGTTGAAGAGAAGAATGTAGTTCAAGCTCCACTCTCTGTATTTCTGATGTCTAGAGATAAGACAAATCATGTTTTGAAACCCAGATTCCTTGAAAAGCCATTGTAAAGGAGACGCTTTCCACTTTCCTGTTTCCGGGCAAGTCTCTCTGGAGACCTTCTGTTGAGAGTGTTATCCACCCAGAGAGGGAGGGGCTCTAGGAATCAGGCTGCTGCCTTGTCTCCTTGGATCCTGGGAACTTTTCTGTCCACTCCAGCCTAGTGGTTCCTCCTACAAGTAAGCTCCATGGAAGCAGGAATTCAAAAATTGTGTTCACTACTGTATATTCCCAGGACATTGAACAGTCCTGCCACCGAGTAGGAGCCCAATCAGGATTTGTGGACAATTTGCTGAATAAAAAGTCCTATTTTTCTGCCTATCCTATTCCACCCCATTTTGTCCCATCCCTCCAAGGAAGATTTTCCTGGCTTCAAATTTTCATTGTCCTTTGAAATTTGTCCTAAGTCCATGGGTAATATTGTCCTCAAAGTCTGAACAACCAGCCCTAATTATGTGAAACCCTGTCTTGTGGCTACATTGTTATGTCACATTTATGAGTCTGATCTCAGCAAGAGGCAGCGTGTTTGGTTCCTGTCCTGACTGCACCATGAACATCACTTCTCTGGACTTCAGCTCTCTTTGTCAATAAACTGGTTGGGTTTGGTGATCTCTGAGCCTCTCTGACTTTTGTGGTAGCCTCCTTGTAGTTAGGACTGAAGTCTTTATTTCTACTTCATTTCCCACAGGTACTGACGTGATCCACAGTAGGTGGTCAATAAACATTTGTTCATTCTAGCTACTTTGGTGTTATGAGGACAAACAGTTTAAGACAGAGTGGCTTTGTGTATTAAGTGGGAGCATTTCTAGATAAGGAAGGTGAAAAGAATATTATCTCTAAACAGGCCCTCTGGTGCTCCGTGTTGGCCTCTCATGCCTGAGCCTGCTGGCTAAAACGTTTGCAGAGGAACCGGCCTCTTTAGTTTGAGAGGCATTTTCTGAATGGTCCTGGGGACTGGATAATATTTCTCTCCTCCACTCCTTCCCATCCCCAGAAGATCTGCTCTGCCAAGGAGAAGCTGAGATCACAGGTTAGAAGGTGGCCAGACTTGAGAACTGATGAAACAAACAAAGAAGTCTCCTTTGCATAGTGTTAAGGAGAAGGTGTAGTTTCAGACACCATGCTGAGAAACTCAAGCAGCGGAAAGCCCAGTGTGTGTGGGGGCAACTCACAGGCCAGTCGGGAGTGGGGCTCTGGGGGTGTTTGGGTTGGCTTCTGGCCCAGACTTCCCGGAGTGAGGACACAGCAGGGTTGAGCGTTGGGCACTGCTACCTGTCTCTGTTTCTCTTTCCATTTCTGCCCCAGTGTTGTCTGAGCCAATGGCAATTTAGATAGAGCACAATGAGCTCCCCTCTGACCTTTAGTGGACATAGAACTGGCTTTTGCTTGAGAACCGTCTATTATCCCAGTCCGCTGACTGTCTCTTCACCTTTTCTTCTGTGCTCTCTTTTTTCGTTTTTCTTTTTAGATGAAGAAACTGAGGCACAGAGGAGCTGTATGAGCTACTTCAAATAACCCAGATCAAGAGTAACAGAGACACCCCAATAAACCTGTTTCTTCCATACTATGGCTTCCTGGTGGGTCTTGGTTTTTGTTTTTCTTGATGAAAGGAAATAGATATTTTCTGATAGGTACTGGGAAATAGAGAACTTTATGAATTCCTGGACTTTTTAGAAGAAGAGCTATCAGCCCCTTCTCTTTTGGGGCTGAGTGTTATCTTGCCTGGAGACAGGGTGGATGGACAGAATGGTGTCTTTATCTCTTAGAAGGATGGCCACAGTGGAAAGGCTTGGAGGCCAGTGCTCCCATTGGCCCTTTCTTAGGTTAGGAAGGGGCTTTGGGCTCCTTCACTGTTTTGGAAGTCAGATCTCTAGTTGGGTCCCATCTCCCCTCTCCAATTCAAACTCACTCCATTAATTTTCCTGGGGAGTCCAATGGCTGGACTTCCTGGGGCTGAGTCTTCCCAGCAGGCCGGGAATTGGGGCTTATTAAGAGGGAACATGGAAAAGTTGCTGACAGTCCTTACACATGTTGATGACTCAGTCTGAATCCCTCTCTGAAACCTAAGTCTCTCCAGATGTTGACCTCAGCTGGGAAGTGGGGACCTTCTACTCTGTTCACATGCACGTCCCATCTTCTCTGCCTTTGCTGCTGCTGCTGCTGCTCTTCAGGCAGGCAAGGGGGGGCGGGGGAGCTCAGGGATGGGCTGGTGGAGGGGGAAGCTGCTGAAAGAGGGGAGTCACCAAGGGGCAGAGCTCTCTGAGCTTGGGACTCATCTGGTGTGTCAGTTGGCAATAAAGAGAAACAAAGAGCCCAAGGCCAAGTGGTGGTTTTCAAAGAAAAAGGAAGAAGGGACCTCAACTCCATTCGCCTCTTCCCATCCAGTTCTGGGAAACAAGGGAGCATCTTTGTTCCGACCATGGTCTGGGTTCTGCCTGAAGATTTGTTGGGAGTCTCTCCCATTTGTCTTCCAGGCTACTCTCCCATCCCTTCTGACTGTGTGCCCAAACTGTTTTCCCACAAGCAATTCCTATTTTTCAGGAAGAGATTGGGCTGCTAAAACGCAGAAGACTCATCACATGGGTGGTGGCCCTGGGAGGCTCCTCGGGGACCATCTGGCCCTGTCCTTTGGGAGGTCAAGAGGCTTATCTAAGGGCTTCACCCAGGCAGGGAAAGAGCCATGACTGGGCCCAAGACTGCTGATTCCCAAGCTGAAGACTGCTCACCACTGCATACTGCCTTCCCTACTTGACTCTCTGCTCTATTTGCTTTCTCTCTTGTCCATGTGCTGCTAGGATCACAGTGAAGGAATCTAATCCTAAAGGGAGAGGAAGAACTTGGAAAAAGCAGAGACTCTTCTTAGAGGTAGGGTGTGAATTTGGAGGTCCTCTGGACAAATTGAAAGCTCTCATTTGGCGAAAAGTCAAATTCTCATTTGCTTTTTTGTTATTTTTGGATTTCAGAAAAATGATTTGACTATTTCCTTTTGTCACCACTAACAATAAGGCCACATAGTGTTGTAGTACACAAATAAAATTCAAATTTTGTGTTTCAGAAGGTTCCAAATACAGTTTTCACATTAACAACAACCGTTCACCCACTGACCTTAATCCCCATCTATAAGATAGTGAAGAAGATGCTGTTCCTTCCCAGAATACTCTGGGAATACAGCTCCCTTCAGCCATATGACAAAAATAGGCCTACATCTTAGGGTATTATCAAGGAGTTGTTATGGTATGAAAATATTACAAGCATTAAATCACTTGGCTCCATGTAATCTTTAGGAACAAATGTGTTTTAATCCATCTACCAACTGGAGTGAGGAACTTTGCATTGGGAGGGTTGCTAGAGAACAATTTCATAATAAATAGATCTGGCGACAAAGGGTAACTTGGCCAAAGTCACAAATTATAGGCAAAGTTGGATCTCAAGCCCAGATCTGCTAATCCCCACTGTGTCATGAGGCACTACTGTTGAGATTTCTGGCCTGTTTTTTCCTGTTTTTCTCTCTTCATGTTCTGAGAGCTGCATGCCAGTGTCCATTGCCCTCTTGAAATCATCCCACCCGCCAAAGAGTCATGTCATTGAGTTTGAGGACACCTGACCTTATGAAAGTGGGAAAAGTTGCCACTCAAAGGGCCTAAGGACCAGAGAGACAGACTGAAGTTTTCATGCATGAAGGTCAATGCCCTCATAATTGATGACTTCAAAGCACTGTGACCAACATGCTGGTAGAGTACATTGGACAGAGAAGACTCTCAATATTTCTGGGATATTTTTAACATAAATGCCTTGTGATAACTCTACTGATCAAGGTTGGGTCAAGAAAGATCACAACTCAGTTGCTCTTTGACTTGATTTGCTGACACTCTACTTCCCACTGTTAATGGTGCTCAGTTGAGGGTGAAGGAGAGGAGATAGGTGGCAAGAATAATTTCACTTTGTCTTTTGAGGATCTTGAAAAACAGACAGAGAAGGCTTGCTTGACAATATCATTGCCTATTTGGTTTCCATATTGTTCTTTCGGGCAGAATTCTCAAATTTGGAAAAGTAGATTTAGTTGCATTTATACTAAGGACAGGGAAAAAGTAACTCCCTCACTGCCTTTTCTAGTCCTAGAATTCTGTGGTCCAAAGCACAAAGCTCTAGTGACACTTTGCCCTGCACACACTCTACGCGGGGTCAGCAGGGATGACTGGCCTAGTAAAATCTTCAAAACAAAGCCTTCATTTTCAGCAAGAACCAAATAAAGACCCAGATCCTTTGAGTGTTGCAGTGATAAGATTTTATTGGTCAAGCAACTCCCAATACTGGGCAGCCTTATTTTTGTTTTGGGGGGAAATGCGGAAGGTAATGCCACTGAGATGTCCTGGAGTACTGGTAAGGACTGTGTCACCAGGCAGAAATATTTGTTTCCTCAGTGGACCACTGTCCTGAAATAGTGATAGTGGCATTTTCTTCATGCTACAAGGAAGTAAAGACAAATTTGAGGTTATAAAGCTCCCTGGTTAGCTTAGAGGAATCTGAGAAGGTGCTTCGTGGGGTGGGGAGGCGCACATGAGGCCAACTTGACATTTTCCAGATTTTTCCTTAGACATTTGTTACCCCTTTAGATACCATTTGGTCTGGCTTGCTTGCAATTTCCTGTGATGCCTGCTCCAGGTAGGTCATGTCTCCCCAGAACCACCTACATTATTTGTGGGTCCCAGTTCAAGATGGAAATGCCTCTTGTTAAAAGAACACTTTCAAGATGGTGACGGCAGAGCATAAACCAAGCCTGAGATCCCCTGAGCATAGGGTCATTTGTGACTGTTCAGGTCCTGGGACTATGAAGCCCGCCCTGTCCCTCCTGATGTAAGGCATTACTCATGGTAAACATCCACATAACTACATTGAAAGATCCTTATTCATCTTTCTAGTCTAGGTTAGCTGGTCAATATCTTATTCACAATGGGGGCAGGATGAATACTTGCACACGGCTTGCTTCTCACTGAGGCCATGCCATGTGCCTGAGAATGAATGAAGCCTCTTCAGTAATGGCTCCATCACCCCCTCCTCCCTCCCTTCCTCACACACGTCCTCCAACTACTCCCTATACTCCTCCTACACTCCCTCAGAACCACACATTCAAGAGCCTTGCCCATTGCAAGCCTCCTTCTGCTCTGTGCTCTTCTTGGGGGTGCTCTTCTTTCTCTGATGCTCCTGCAGGAAGCCCACCGAGTCCGGGGGAGGGGCATCGCTGCTGTATGCTGGTGTGGTTGCACTTAGTCTGGTAGATGTTAGAAGCTTCATGCGGGCTTTCCGGTCATTTACCTGAAGATGGTATTCTGAGCCTTGAGACGGGGATGGGGGTGGGGGGCCACCTGTAAAGAAACTAGGCCACTGTTACTTAGACTTCCCCAATCTGGGATGTCACAAAGTCTATATGAGATCAGCAGCCAAACCTACAGCAGAAGGACCGAGCAGTGAGACTCAGGATGACTTCCTTCAACATTTAGTCAGACTGATTTTCTGGATCCAAGCCTCACAATCTACTAAATTTGGGCAAATTGTTGCACTTCTCCTGGTCGTAAAAATCTTCTGTTAGTTAAAGCCAGAAGGACAGGGACTTATTGGCAATCCTGTTATTTTACTAATGAGGAAACTAAGTGCCGAGTTGGACTTTACTTCCTTGCAGGCTCAGAGCTTCAGGAAATTTCTCAAGGATGCATAAATACTGAACAGCAGAGCTAGGAATTAAGCCCACATCTACTTAATTTTAGTACTTGTTCACAATGTCTCCTGCTGTATTTGCTGCCATGGTAGGGAGAGACAAGGAGATGAATCACATCTCTTAGGTGGGTGACACCCTTAGGAGGGTGACATATTTTACTTAATGTTTACTATGAACAGAGAGATGAACAAAAGACTTGATTATCAAAGCCCAGAGGAGGCTAACTCGAGTCGGTCGTGGGGATGGAGAAGAAGGGATGAGTTATAAAATACTGGGGGGACTGATGAGATGTGGAGGGCCATGAAGGGAAAGTGTGAATCCTAGACTTCTGCCCTGAGTGAATGACTGCTAGGAGGATAGCGGAACAGGAGCTATATTTGGACAGGAAGTATTGGTTTTAGTTTTGCACAGATTGAGATGTCTACTGGACAGATCCAATGTCCACTTAGATGCCCAGAGGACAAATTCGATACAGGTAACTAGCTCAGAAGAGCAACTGGGGCTGGTAATGTGGATTTGGGCACTGGCAAAGTAGAGTTTTGTGTAGCTGAATTTATGGGAGTAGATGTGATGGTCTAGGGACAAAATGATGGGATTTATCAGCCTTTGGGTTTTTCAGAGGAGAGAGCTGAAGCAGACTGAGAGAAGAGAAGAAAACTCAGGAAACAGGGGAGTTGCAAAGTAACGGGAAGGAGTTCAAAGATGGAGCTGCCAAACTTGGGGTAGTCATAACACTTATCTGGAACCTGCTAAGAGTCAGGCACTGTGCGAGCACTTGAGGAGCCTCACCTTGTTTTTCAGTCCTCACCTTTCCTGACCCCGTGGAGCACTTGACGATTAGGTTCCTGTGGAGACAGAGCAGTGGGTGTGGTCAGGAGTGCAATGGGTAGAAGAGAGGCAGGAGGTGAGGCAGTGGAGGGCGAGGCTGGATTGAACAGAGGAAGGTAAGCCTCTCTCCAGCAGCTACCCTCTCCTTCCCTTCACAGCTGAGCTTCTCAAAAGACGGGGCTTTGTTCAACCACCATTGCTCTGCCATAGAAAATGGCAGGCTTCTCCTTGCTCTTCTGGCTTCACTTTACCCATGGGTCTTTTACCCCTGCCTGACCTCAAGCTTCTCTTTCAGCTGTAGAGAAGTCTGCAGTTTGGGATGGACATCCAGTCTCAACTAGTCCTTGTTATTTCACCTCTCTGCCTTCCTGCAGGCACCTTACACTCTCGGAGTACCAAGCCAAGATAAGGGCTTCTGCCTGGAACAGTGCCTGGGATGTGGTAAGTACTCTAGAAAAATTAACCCATTTAATCCTCACAGCAACCCTATGAGGTGGGTACTATTATTGCCATGTTCCAGGATCAGGACATGTGCTTGCCCAAAGTCCCACAGCTAGTAATCAGAGGAGCTGAGGTCTTCTTGTATAAGAATCTGAAATACTTTCTCGTGTGAGAATATTTTTTTTACATATTTTGCATTCTTTTTTTTAAAGTACCTAGCACAGAGATAGGCACATAAGAGGTTCTCAATAAATCCTGGCCAGTTGAGAGGTGGAGTCCTATTGTTTATCTAAACAAAGTTCTGGAACGAGGGTATAATGTTTGCAAAGTGAGGATTTATTCAAGCTCTTGGTGTGTTTGTGCAGGGGGAGGAGGATCCATGTTGACATGTACCTAAGCTGGTGAGTTAGGCATATTTTAATCACAATTTGGGATCCCATGAAAATGTCCACATTACTTCCTTTTCACCCATCCCTCACACTGACTCGTGTCCTCATGCGTATATAGGAAAGATGACACAAACACAAAGAGCCACAGGTAGTTAAAGTACAACTCTACCTCCCTCTCTTTCTTTTTCTCTCTTCCCAATCTTTGTTTCCCTCCCCAGGATTGAAATCTTAGAGGTTATGCTAAAAGAATGACAGGAACACTGTAGAATCCTCTGCCTCTTAGAGTCTGCAAGAGGCAGGAAACTGGAGGGACTGTGGGAGCTGCTTGGCTTAGCCCCTCCCCTGCCTCCACCTGAGGTTGATCCTCTTAGAGGGGGTCAACCATTACAGCTTTTTTCAGGAAATGTCCTTGACACTGGGCTTTAAAGGAAGACAGGACATGACTTATCTCTTGGGGCCTCTCTGTCAGCCTCTCCCTCTGGATGGAACCACCCAACAGCCACAATCCTTAGGCTTGAAATCCAAGTGTGTTCTTGGACTCTTTCCTCTCTTTTCTGGTCCTTCTTGAGTCTTCCTTCCCGATGCCCCATTTTCCACACTCCAGGGTGGCAGACCTTAATCAACCCTTGTTACCTTTGGACTACGTTATTGTGGAGGCTGCTTGAGTCTCTTTATTCATACAAACTATTGTTCAGTGAAACTTCCTAAAGCAAGATTAATCTTATTACTCTTCTGCTCGAAATGTTTGGGAAACTCCTTACTGTCTACAAGGTGTAGCTCATTTTCAGATTTCCTATCTACCCTCCCAACCCCAACCTTGCTTTCTAGTCTTTTATACTCTCCCTCAAACATCTGCTGTTCTAGCTAAACTGGGTTCTTTAAAAAGTAGGAAAAGACAGGTGTTCATGGGAAATTCAGTGTCTTACTTGTGCTGTTACTTCTTAGCGTCTTACTAGATTCTTATATGCCCTTCAAAACTCAAAATAAAGGCCCCAAATTCTATGATTACTTCTTCAATGAACTCCCATTATTCATCTTTGGGGCACATTTTATCTCATTTACCAGATTTGGTTCAAAATTTTTTATTTCTGTGCATGTCTTCTCTTTCCAGACATTGAACTTCTTGAGGCTGACGCTGTATCTCTGTGAGGTTCTGGGGGGTTGGGCAGGGGCAGTAGATTAAAAAGATGAGTTGGACTAGAGCTTTGAATTCCGCATTGTTGGGGATTGGAGTGGGGACAGGGAAGGGCAAGGAAGGAGAGATTGCAAAGGGGCACAGGGAAACTTTTGGGAGTGGAGAACATTCTCATTACCTTGATTTGTGATGATACGTTCACGGGTGTGTACCTACGTCAGAACTTATCCAATTGTACACTTCAAGTATGTGTGGTTTATTATATGTCAATTATACCTCAATAAGTTCATTAAAAATTTCATATTGTTCAAGTCCTTGATAAAGAGCTCTTTCTAGAAATAAGACGATGGGACCAAGAATGCATACCTAAATATGCCAGCAGGTAAAGGCTTTGAAGATGCTGGACTTATGCCTGAAAGGCCAGGAGAATTTTACTTGGTTTGTATCGTTCAGAGTGGTTCCTGTGGGCTATACAGTTGGGCAGCCACCTAGATTCTAGCAGTTTTAGTAAGTGCTTTCTTGATTTTATTCAAATGTCTCAGTATTCCCCAACCACCCAACCAGGCTCTCATGTTGACTTTCAGCCATTATGACATGTTATCGTCAATCATCAGGTCCTTTTAGCAAGAGGGCCTATGTCATGGCCACCTGTCTTCATATATAAAGGGAGTATGAGTGGGCTGCTTTGGACAAATGGACTTGGAGTGAGGGAGGGGGAACCAAAAGAGGCTGCTGTTACAGCAAGAACCCCGCTCCTGGCCAGAGTTGGGGGATGTGAGAAGATGGTGAAATCCCTTAGATGTAAGTGTTCAACATGCCATCTGAAGGATTTACCAAAGACACAAAAAGCAAAGAAGTTATGCCAGAACAGGAACAGGAAGACAAGGTATTGATGACATTTTCTGATTACAAGAGACTCTCAGACCTGAGGAATTGTCATCCTAGCTTGGCAAATGTTCCAAAATGTCACACCTTTGTCAAAGCACAGCTCTCCATTCACCTTCCAGAGACTGTCTCTCACTTTTCCCTAGCACTCCCTCCTTCCCCCCAAGAAACCAGCTCTTCCCCCACTTCCCCACCAATCCTGCAAAGAACTAGATTTTCTGTGTTCATCACTTGTCTTCTTGATGCTGGAGAGCCTCCTTCTAATCTTGTGCATTCAGAAGAGAGGTTGACATAGCCCTTGGACCTACCTTTTTGAAGGTGTGTTTCTCAAACTCTTTGAAACCTTATGTTTGATGGAACCTCTGGGAAACTGAGCCAGGGAGGTCCCTATACGAAAAGCACATGAGTCTCCTGAGCATAAATCTTACACTTTCTCATTCTTGTCTCTTTAGTCAGCAGCAAATGTCAGTGCTCTGGTTGAAGCCGCTGCTTGAATCCATGTTTTTCCACATCGTGTTTTCTTCCATGGCCAGTGAAAAGAAAAACCTCTTTTGGTGCAGGCCCAAGACCACCATAATCATCATTGATTTTTCCTCTCTGCCTCAGGTCTCTAAATAAAGTTCCTCTCCTTTCACTGACAAATGGTGTATTTTGTGTGTTTTTGTTTCCCTAGAGAATGGCTTGTGGCAACCTGGAGTACTCCTGCCTCTTTTCACGTAATAGGATGAGTGGGATATCATGGGTAGAGAGAGAACCAAGTGAGTCAGAAGGAAACACGTAATTTTTTCCTTTGTTCCTGTTCTAGAGATTTGGTAATGAAATGTATGATTGGGTTTTTGTTTGGGATGGGTTGAGATGCTTTCTGGGTATGAAAAGTGCTTACTTGGTTTGAGAGACCTTCTAAACCGGCTGGGCCAGGGGCCCGACAACCAGGAAACCTATAACCAGATCTCCCTCAGCTTACACCTATAGCTTCATTTGTTGGTAATTCGTAATGAAGATGCCCACTTCTCTAGAAACAAGCCCAGATCCTGTCAGCATGAAGCTCAGGAATTGTAAACATAAAGAAGGGCAAAAACATAGCATAGCCCTAGAATGGTAGGTGTGCGTTTGGAACTTTTTAAAGGACATCCTCAAACTTCTCCCAATAGTGTTCTCTAGATACAATGTAGTTTGGGGCTCTTTGGGGTCAAATCATTCTGACAGCTGTGTGGAATCCCTTGTGTAATTGAACCTGAACCTTGTGTAATTCACATAAAGGTACCAGGTCATCACCTACCCCAACCATCGCCATTAAACCGCAAAAGTTCTGCTAAACCACCGGCCTTTCCTCAGGCATCATAAATGCAGTCTTCAAAAATCACACGCTAGCAAGGCCAAGGTGAATCCTTAAGGTTAAGGTCTCAAACCTCAATCTTCCTATCTTCTTTGGAACATGAAAGATGCAGAAACTGAAGAAGAGGCAGGAACTGGCTTTCCATTATTCAGCCAACTTAGGTAGACCCCAGGGTTTTGTCGTATTTCCTAGATGTCGATGAGCTGCTTGTTCCCAGAGAAGCATGAGTCTCTTTGATGGCCGCTTTTGTGCTTGGGTAGTCATATTTGGTCCTCGTGTAGGGGTGGGGAGAGATGGTAGATTGAAGATGTTATGGCAGGCCCAGGAGCAGAGCCATCTTGCAATAATATGTTATAGTTATATTGTTAGTTGTAAGTTTATCTTGTGGTGGTATGTTGTAGTCATATATTACACTATATCTTGTGACGGTGTGTTGTAGTAATGTGTTGTGCATACACTGGTGTAGCCTTGGGGAGGAGGCAAAAGCAAAGGAGGTCAGTAGCCTTGCGTGCTTCATTCTGGTGCTGGTCATCTGTCCCACACTCACCATTTTTGGCAGATTTACATAGAACTTGGCCCTTGTCACAAGTATGTGCCCTCTAAGAGCATATCATCTAGAGTCAAACTAACAGTGCAAGCAGACCTGCCTACCAGGTGCCCAAAGCTTGAAATTAAGTGCGGAGTACTTTGAATCTTAGCGTCTAAGGCATTCAATATTTATTGATGAAAGTCCTGTATGAAGTAAGAAATCACGACTCGGTTACACCTCACAGCAGCTTTTGTGAGTGATGTCAGGGGACAGGGCTATGTGACAGGGTCCCTGAAAGTAATGGCATATCTTAGTCTTTGCAGGCGAAAGCAGCCATAGTAAGTGACTGGCCGTGGCTGTGTTCCAATGAGACTACAAAAACGTCGAGAGCTGTGCTAACCATTATTTCATTTATCTCAATTGTTCCACTGAGTAACCATTATCACAATTTTACAATTGAAACAGGCTGCATGATTAACTTGGAAAACCACAGACAGATCGAGGTAATAGAGTGTATTTTCTTCAGTGTTCTTTCTACTCTCGGAGAGATTGTCCTGGCTCTGCCTGTGCCAGGACCCACCTTCTTTGGGTCTTGTCTAAGTGTCCGTCTTACTCTTCCTTTCCCAAAGAGGTTCACTACCCCTTTGTGGTAATTTGTCCCTTCTGTTCTATTCCCTTCACTCTTTCTGGATGTCTTTCTGCAGTGGGCCATCTTTCTACTTGTCTTGGTGGCAGTCTTGGACTTGCTGTAAAAGGGTCACTTTTTTGGGATGTGTAGGGGCGTGGGGCTTGGGCACAAAATCTGCTAGTCCTAAACTAGATACTCCTCAGGCAGTTAAGCCAGGACAGGAAGAAGACAGCTCACAGGCTACTCACAGAGTCAGGCCTCGTGTGACGCGATGTGGTCATAATGCTATGGCCACTCTTATTCTTATACCTCATAATAGCAGGTGCTGAGACTGGCCCAGAATTAAAGCTCATAAACTTATGAATTTAAGTGCAGTCCCTCTTTCCCTTTGACAGCTTGCTCTCTAAAGTCTTTCTCCATCATTTCTGCTTCTCAAATTTTTGTAGTTGTCCATTACTATGGGCTTTCAGTACATTCTCCACTTACCTCAGATTATTTCACTCCCATAACGTATGTACAGCTGGTGGCGTAGGGGCCAGCTGTAGCCAACAAATATATTTTCTTCGACATGCTATGTGGGCCTACATGGGGTGGACCAAAAACATTTGAACTAGTTGCTACCATTGAAGTCAGAAGCTTTCACATAAAATCTAGACTTTTGACTTCTTCATTGCTCTTAAAAATTCGTCTAGCAACACTGGATCCCAACCGATTAGAGTTCAGAAATATCTTTTAGATGGGGCATGCACAGTTTAATTTGTCATTGTCTCCACAGATCTGTGCTTGTTTTACTTATATTACTGGCCCAGACCCTGAAGACATTAACTCTGTAACCTCTGTTCTAACCTTTGGAATTTACCACCCGTTGGCTCCACTTCTCTCTTCATACATTTATCAGAGTCCAGAGGTCAGTTTGATGTTCTAAGCAGGGGAGCCAAGGATAAGAATCTGAGACTGTGTAGAGGGCAGCCTTCTTCTCTTTGGATTCTGATTCAGCTCCTTGAGACGACACATTATTAGAGCCACTTCATTCCTAGCCTCAGAATCCTTCCTCTCTCCTGAAGCATAGTTTGAAATCCATGAGGCAAAAGTATAAGAAAAACGATTGTCTGTCTAGAGGTGACTTGGGTTCCATATTGGGAATGAGAGACTCATAACAAATCATAACCCTCCCACCCCTGGCACTCAGTATTGTATTTTGGTGGGGATAACACTGTGGTCTCTAAAATACATTCCCCTTCTAAATACCTGGAGGAGCAAGATAATTGTGTTAGGCAGAGAATTGCCCCATAAGTGTTTTTCCAGTGTCATGAATTGCTGACCGGCGGGGACCCTGTCTGGCTTCTGTGTCTTTGGTGTTGGACAATAGTAATGGCAATGATGATGATAATGTTGTGACAGGATAATTCACTGAATTATTAGCTTGTGTGTATCCTCTGAGCATTTCCTCTCTCTTGTTTGAAACAGAGAGCCACATGTCCATACTGGGCTTCCTAGCTTTGGGTGGAGGACGAAACAGAAGCTCTTTGAAGATAACTTCCTTCCTGAGTTTTTGATATCCAGAAACCTAAGCTCAAGAGGGTATTATGTTTTGGAGGTGAGTGAATTTTACTCGCTCTCTGAGAGAGTCTGAGATAAGGATGTGAGTACAGGTTTTATATTGGGAAGTAGATTCTAGGAAGCAGGGTGAGGGGATCAGGTGTGTGGGCAGGGGAGGGAGAAAATGCTGTGTTCCTGAGCTGATTCCTATCGTGAGCAACTGGAGTTCAACCCACTGGAGAGCCTCTGAGGAACTATGTGGAATATCCCTCAGAATTTTCCCTCCAGATGCTGGGAGGCTGGGACATTTCCCCATTGATTTCCATCCTCTGCTAGTTGAAATTTCCCTTGGGAATGTTAACCCCCCCCCCCCACACCCCACTTCACGGGCTGCCTTGCACCCTTGGGAGGTGGAAATGCTCACTCTCTGTCCCTGTCTTCTCTGCCCTTTAGGGCCTCAGCCAAAAATGAGACAGAAAGCACGTCATTTTTAACATTTAACATTTCACACTGTATGTATCTGTGTGTGTGTGCGCGCGCGCACGTGTGTGTCTGCATAACATTCTATTATTTGGATTTACATAATCTATTTAACCAACATCCTATGTTTAGTAGTTTTCTGATTATTTGCTCTTTTATTCAAAAATGTATATAAAGATCTACATATTTGTTCAGCATTGTTTGTATTTTTTATATTTTCGTAGAATACGGCTATAGAAGTGAAATTATAGGGTCAAAGACTATAGATCCCTAAGACTCCGAATGTATTGTTTTCCAGAGAGGTTTTACTGACTATAGTCCCCTCAGCAGTGGGAGAGAGCATTTAGGGTGAACTTTGGCAATGACCTGAGAGTAGGTGACTAAGAGAGATCTATTGCTTGGAGAACTTTTAGCATGGTGGAGGCCTCTAACTATTTAGGATAGGTTAGGGAACTCTTCTACTTGCATAGAAAAGGGATGGAACATTCATTCTGGATTCCCTTCTTCCCTGTTCTGAAAATACTTCTTCCTAGTATCAGCTGAAAGGAGCACATGGCTACCATATGTGTGTGTGTGCACATGAAAGGCATCAAGCAGATTCTTAGAAGAGTCTCCATTTGGGGACAGTTAATTGAGTTTTCAAAGGTTCTGAATTTACCACCACTTGTTCACCCATGTAATAAATGGGTTACCAGGTGCTCTGTATTCAAATTTCCATGATTATGTGGGAAAGGATAAGCTGGATAAATGTTAGGATTCTTGGAATTTCAGTAAACATCACCAAATGCTTTGAAGAAAGTCCGACAAAGAAAAGGCGTAAGCTGTTGATCAATAGAATTGGAAAGGACTTCATTTTCCTTTGTCTCTTCTGTTTCCCAAGAATTGAACCAGTAATTAAAGAAAGAGATAAAAGATGGAGATCAAGGAAGAGGAAAAACAAAGATCAAGGTAATCCAAATTTCAGTTCAGCCCCTGGATTAGTGAGCACGGACCACACTTCTTGATTAGAACTCAGGAGAAGGATGAATTGCAGCCACATCTATATTTCCAGTGCCTCCTCTGTCTTCCTTTTTGACCTCTTTGCCTCTCTTTTCTCATAGGCTTAGAGTACATTTATGTCTGTTACCAACAAAAAAATGGGCCTGGGTGACACTGGAACCAAGGAGAAGAGAACCTAAGAATTCTCAACCCCCAAATACACTGATTTCTCCATTTCCTCTGAGGTTTCCCACTAGATCTTTTGAAAGTTCTCAATAGGAAGATAGTTTGTTAGTGTTGCAGAAGAATTCGGTAAACCACCGATTTCCAATCCTTCTTGGTCCAAGACCAGTGCCTAAGACAGGCCATTCCTCCAGAACACCAGGGGGAGCTGTTGTGCTGCCTCGTCCTGGCACCAAAATTGTTCCAGGCGGGGCCTGGAGATAGACACATATATCCAAACCATCAAGACATGAGGACTTTAGGACATACTAGTCACAGGGAGCAGAATGTTTGAAATTGGGAGGGTCCTAGAGTTTCCAGAACTATGGTGGCCAGTGGCGCATGGGGGAAAATGTAGTTTCTGTCACACGTATGTTCTGTCACCCCTGCAAACTTCTCCCTCTGAGTACAACCACTCACTGTGCTTTGTTTCGGGATGAAATCTACAGATAAAACAGGTGAAAAGTGAAGTCCCCTAAAGTAATAAAGAGAGAGCATCTTGGAGGGGAAGAGATGCAGACAGAAATACCTCTGCCATAATATAGCTCATATTCCATGTCTCCCAATTCTTGGAATGTTTTATTCCTTAATATTTTCCAAGGGCCCAGACCTGTGGTTGGAACAATAGATGCTCAGCAAATACTTATTGAAGGAATGACTCCAGTTCCAGGGTTAGTCCTGCCCCTCTCTGATCACTTGGTCCCTCTGGGATTGTTTCCTTGTCTGCCAATGGGTGCTGGTGGGCAGGAGGAGAAAGTGAGGTTGTACTAGCTAATCACTGGGGTCCTCTCGATTGGGGATGTTCTATAGTTTCCATATTCAAGGGCCTGGTTAGTTAAGTGTCTTAAGCAGGGCTCTTCTTTATTGTTTCCTAGAATAAACCAACCCATATATGAAAGAGAAACGGTGCTATTCCTGAGTGCACATCAGAGTATGGGCATGTTGAATCAAAACAAAAGATCTCTTTTTAAGTTTTGGCTCAGTCCTCTGTTCATTTCCAGGTGCCCCTGGAACTCACACGCGCTGCAGGTAATGTGATTCTAATGTCTCTGTAGGTGAACAAATTTAATCTCTTTCTGCACGGCGGCCCCCAGTTTGGCTGGGCCAGTGCTCCTTCCTGTTTGCTTTCTGTTTCTCTGTAGGCTTCCTACTCCTATTGGCATCACTTAGCAATGCTCGTTCACCCTGGCAGTTCTTGCCAGTAGCAGCCGGTGTTCCGGTTTGCAGTTTTTCCAACACATCCAGAACCAGGCTCATTGTTTCCCAACAGAAACACCACCACCAGTTGGCTGGCACCCCCTTCTCGGGGTCTGGGTGCCATCTCCACAGGGCCCTCTGACTGCAGAGCGGTAGGCCTTTCACACGGCTGCATTTCAGCTCTGTGGGTGTCTTCCTCCAAGCTTTTAAGTTTTAATAATTCTAATACTCTCTTTTGTTCCCCTAGACTAAGAGAGTTAGCTGATTCCTCTAATTGCTACTCTTTGATATTTTAATTTTCCCTTTGGCCTTTTCTGTCTTAGTGCTGAGTTAATAATTCTTTATATTAAATTCTCCATGTTAAAATGACTGGTGTGGTTTCTGTCTCCCAAGACTAGATCTTGACTGATACAGATCTAGAACAAGGGAGCCAGAGGTCATGACCTCCCAGGCATGCTAAGCTTTACGCTTGTGTGCAGGTGAAGTGGGTTCAATCGGCCAAAGGTAGTCCTGCAAAGGGGAGTCGCCTGGGGCCCTGGGGTGGAAAAACACACCAAGGTTGGAGGAGCACGCAAAGACCCCAAAAGTGGATCCCAGGGGATCTGTACAGAGTCCTGGTGGTTTCTGCTACATGGACATAGAAAATGCCAGGTTACAACACCCCAAGGCTCGGGGGCCAGCTGGTGATTCAGGCAATTGGTGCTCTGGGAGCTCAGGGAAGGGAAACACCAGTCAAGTCAAGGAGAATCCGAAAGTTCCCTAGAGAGGTAGACAGAGAGAGGCGAACAGCGCTTTCCAGGCTGGAACACTGGTGACAAGAATGGTCGAGGCACATTGAGGGGCACAGATTTGGCTCCAGGGAGGCCTCGTACACCAGGCCAAGGAAATTGCTTGGGGCTTTGCTTCCGTATGTTGGTATCATATCACAACGTCATCCTTAAAAGTCACATATAAATGACTCACCTGCTGTGTACACCACCCACTAGGTGCCAGGAACAAGTTAGGGTTGAAACAAAAAGATGTGCTTGCTCAAGAAAGGGATCGGTCTTCCCTGGACAAGCTTTAGATGAGCCTGGGATGGCACCTTGGCTGCTGGCTCCTCTTGGAAGAAACATCTGACTTGGTTTATTTTTTAGATAAATTTGCAATTGATGATGGGATGTCAGACAGTAGGAGGTGTTTGGATGTATGATCTGTAGAAATGGGCCCTTCAGATTTGCACTCCATGTCTTCTTGGTTCCCTAAGCTAAACATGAGCAGTTGGGCACACCTTGTCTGAACTACTCCTTATCTCTCCTAGATCCAGGCATGGACAGGATACATGATCTCCACACACAGATTTTCCAGGATGGTCCCAAGAGCGAATAAGTTGGTTTGGGAAGTGTGGTCACAGTGGCCTTGCGCCATACTGTCAAAAGGCACGGGTCCTCCTCTCAGGAAGCCTGTGCTTTAGTGAGTGAAGCTGCTTTGTTTTATGACTTGGTGCTTTCACAGCCAATGCACGTGGCCACCACAGAGGTACAAACACATGAGCGATCCTGACATCTTTCCTTGATCCCATGGGAAGAGGATGGGTATGAAAAAGGGCAAATGAAGGGGGTGTGGTGGTGAGGGGGCAGCTTGGAGAAATGGAGAGTTTTCAGCTCCCCACGTGTGGTAAGTGGGTCCAGCGGGCATGCTCCCTTAGGAAGAAGGAAGCTTGGAGAACCAGCCTTCATTCTGTCACTGTCACCTTCTTCAGCTCCTCTTGGTCTCATGTCTGGTGGGAGGGAGAGTGCGCTGCAGAACCACTTGGGAGAAGTGGAGCATCCTTACTCTCAGTTCCAAACTCTGCTCGGCGCAGACGGGGTTCCGGACCAAAATCCGCATTTGTCCTTGACTGGGTAGCTGTGAACTGAGCAACCACAAAGTCGGTGGGGGCAAGTGGAGGAAGAGAAGTTCCAAAGAGACAACAGAAGAACTTGCAGGGGTGAGGCAGGAGAAAAGATGAGCAGAGGAGAAAAGATAGCCTTGCAGAGGTGAGAGGCACAGGGGTGGGGAGACTGGAGGAAGGAGGGAGGAGGAAAGGCAGGAGACAGCACGCCAGGACCTTTGTTCTCTGCCTCTTGGGGTGCAGGAGGCTGGAGTGGGCCAGACAAAGGCTCGGCTCCCTTTGTCTTTGCTGGCACTGGAGGGTCTCCTCAACCCCAAGGCTCTCGGGTCCTGGGTGGGCAGGGAAGGAGGCTGCGGGAGGGAGGGGCTGGGAGCTCTACCTGGGAGGCCTGGTTTGCCTCTTGGGCCCAGGAGTCACTGCAGCCTCGGGGGAGAGGGGTCCTGGGCCCCTCCCACCGCGGAGCGCTACCTGCCAGCCCTGCTTGCTGTGCAAGCAGGCGGATCTCTCCTTTCCACGGTGCAGACTTGCAAGCCTGTTGTCTGCCTAAATTTTTTCTTCCCCTCCTAGCTCCCCCCTCTTCTAATTCTCAGAACTCACTCCCATTGGATTCCAGGAAATGGCTGGTGCAACTTTGTAACCAAATCCCCTGAATCCTTTTGTATACCGTGTCCGCTCCTCTGCCCCTCTGCAGTGCCCTTCACGGCTAGGTCCGGTTACAGAGAACAACTGTCCAGGCCAGGCTGGCCCTGAGACTCTCCAGGGATCCCGCAGCTTCCGGGGGCCCTCCCCCCTCACTACTGGCCCGCCGGCCCTCCTGAGGGAGCGGAACTGTGGAGGCAAATGCCCTGAAGCCCCAGACCTTGCCTCACACCCACCTCCCGAGTGAGTGTGCAGGGGGAGGAGGGTCCATCTTGACATGACCCTAAGGTGTGGCTCCCCGCGGGGCTCCCCAGCCTGGCCTCTGTCCTCCCTCCCTGACTCTTCTCTAGGGGTTGTGGGCTCTGGGACAGATGGTCAGAGGACATGCTTCCATCATCCTCAGAGAAATCTCTGGTGTCTAACCCGGCTGAGGGCTGCAGTTTCCTTTTCTGCACCTTCCTCATCTAGATCCTTCCTCTTCTCTGTGGGAATACTTTTGACCACGTCTTATTCTACGAGAGATGGGGATGGACTCACTCAGGGTTAGCAAGCTTTTTCTGTAAAGGAACAGACAGTAAATATTTTAGTCTTTGCAGGGCCACATCCATAGATGACATCTTCCTTTCTTTTTCCACCTTGCCATGCCCCCCGCCCCCCACAACTATTTAAAAATGTTAGGAAAAAAAATCCTTGTTCAAAGGCTGTATAAAGACAGGCCGCAGCCAGATTTGGTCATAGTTGGTTGACCCTTGGACTAGACGATCTCTCTTACCTGCTGAAAATGTCTTAAAAATTTGTTCTGGGCCTAGACAGACCGAGCTGTGCTGACCTCTAACTCCTGTGTGCGTCATCCTGGGAGTGTTGGCAAAGGGTGCCAGAATCCAATAAGTTTGGGAAACAGAGCCCTTCCCATACGACTTCACAGAGCCTTTACTGTGTCAAGGGGAACCGACTCTCTCCCAGACTGCAGGAGTTTGCAGTGTGTTTGTCTGTAGAGCTGGCTTTGTGTTCTGCGAAATACCCTTGGAGAAGCATTTTCTAGATGAATCTTCTCCTAGCTTTGCCTTTGACTTCGAAGAATCTAATTTTCATACGGAGTTCGGACCCTGTCCCCAGCAGCACTTAGCACGGTCGCTAGGAGGACACACCTATTCACTGAGCAGCCTCCTCCCGCCGGGCGGAAGGGGCAGCAGGCTCTCCAGGCGAAAGAGGTCTGGACCTTGTGTGTGGAGGCAGGGAGGTGCCCAAGAGCCTGGATGGGGCAGCATGTGGGGAGTGTTGGCCCAGGCCCCAGGTGATTTGAATCAGGGTGTTTTCTATTCCCCACCCAGAAGAGTTGGAGAACTCATTCATTATCCCACTTGGAACACTGAGAGGTCCCCTCCAAGCCCAGCACCCCCATGCGGGCACATGCAGTCCGACCAGAGTCAGGTAACAACCCCAAGGGCCAACTTGCTGTGAGGGGAAGTGCCTGCTCCAGTCCGGGAGGCCTGGCTCTGGTCTTAGCTCCACTAAGTACCAGCTGGGCAGTGTAGCGGTGTGTAGGGGGGATGTCTCTGCCTCTCAGGTCAGCTTTTCTCAGCTGCAGCACTAGAGAATGCTCCTTGGGCCAGTGTCATGACTTGTTGGTGACAGTCAAATGAGAGAGAGCGTGTGTCTGGCAGGACACCTGCAGAAGAGACGGGATGATCACTGAGCACCCTTGGGTGGAGACTCACAGCCCCTCAGAAGCTGGCCCAGGCCAGGCCTGTGGCCACTGTCCGTCTCTCCTCTGCAGGAACTGCAGGGCAGAGTTAGAACCACGTTCTCTGAGCTCCCTTCCAGATTTCACAGAGGAGGGACACGGGAGCAGCGTTAGAGACAGGAGAATATGGTTTGATGAGGAACAAGGAGCCCTTGGCCCTGTGGCTGTCATCTGGAAGCAGGAATAGGGATGGCTGTAGGGTGTCTGGCTGCAGGGCCGTCACTCCTCAGGGGAGCGTGTGCAGTTTTACTAGACCTTGGTGTGAGTGCCAGACGTCTTGCTAGCAATTCAGAGGGCAGGAATTAGGCCCCTTGCCAGGGTTCCCCTCTGTGATGTGGGTCGAGGTTGGGACCAGGGCAGCAGCTGGCTCTGGGTACAGTCTGGGTGACTAATTGTGACTGGGACAGCATCTGTCAGCTCGATGGGGCAGATGACTGTAGACAACGTTCTATATTGAGAAGGCACTAAACGGGGGCAGAGAGCCCCAGGAAAGGTGGTGACTTGGGATGTTAAAAAAT